AAATAGATAGCAACTTACGAGTTCGGTACAACGGGCAGGCAGGGACGCGCAACGTATAATGAGACTGTCAAGTGTTTACTATCGTCTCATGACACATTACACCGTCCCTGTCTGTCCGTTGTATTGGACTCGTAAGTAGCAAACTATTTTCAATTATAACTCGAAAACTAAGCTTCGGACAAAATTTTGTAAAAGGAAAAATCGTCTCAGAATTCGCTCAAGAATATGGCATTGCAAGGACATCAGGTTATTTTGAATCACCCTGTATATATATATAATTTATTTATTTCGTATACATATTAAAATAGTGAAAAAAATCGCATCAGATTTTAGAAATCTTGCAGATTATCGAGAGATTGTTCAACTTTTTAAAGTGATTAATTGACATTTATACTTTCTCTTTCACAGATTTTGTAAATAATAAATTAAAATGATTGAAGCTAAAGTAATAAAATCTTGAAAAATTTACGCGTTTCTTAATATACAACAATTACTTTAATGTGACATATGTATGTAAATCGCGATTCTCATATTACTCAATGAATGATATATTGAATGTAAGCATATTTAATAGTATGTAAATAGGCATTTTAGTAGTATGTAAATAGGCATTTTTTAGCAGTATGTAAATAGGTTTTTTTATCTTGCTTTAATTTTGCTTTTCATTCATGGTTCATATACTTGCACTCACACTTAACATAACTCTGTCCGCTTTTTTTTCATTAATTTTTTTTAACATAGAAAGCTGAGCATGCACTAATATACTAAAATTTTTCACGCATTCAAAATTAAAAACGCATACGATATGATGATAATTGACTCGATTATTTAATTATTTTAAATTCTTCTTAAATCTTCTGAGTTTTCCAAACTGTGTCAGAATCATTCATCCTGCTTATCGTTGCTATAAAACAAGTCAGAAACATGCGCGCACATGTAGAACGAAAAAGCACTAAAGCCACTTAAAAATCGAATAAATTGACGTAAATGTTCACATTCATCTGCGAACGTCACGTATTCTCTAAACCACACGCTTCAAAAGCCAGACTATGAATCTCAATTTAAAGGGATTAGCGTCTCCTGTCGCCTTGTCATCATCCCCGCCGATCAAGAACCTGCCTTATCGAGGTACCTTTTTATCGGCATCGTTTTTTTCCTGATATGCAATATACACACGAAAATCCGCTCTCTGTTAAAACAAAAGTGTTGCGGATAAATCGTGATAGGCTGATGATATCACGCGTATCCTCGTTTCCGTACTTTGCGATATCGCTGCGGTTACTGGACATCTCACAAAGCTTTCATAAGAAAAAACCAAGTCTGTTGAGTAAATTCAATCATTAGTAGATTGACAATGTGCCGGCAAGACCTCGCGTTTTGGTGCTTCGCGTTTTTGCTCGTTTCGTCCTCTCAGTCTCAGAAGAATTCCACGAACGATGACGAGGAAAATTCGATGGTGCAACATGAACCTGACGCAAATTTGATGAAAGACCGCAGTGATGAAGCGAAACTAATAACGTATTATTCGCGTGAAAATTCCACCAAGGACAACGAGACGCGACGCGAGTTTCGCGTTAATTCCGTGGGAAGCAATCGCGAAAATTACGACACGACGGAATACGAATTTCATCTGTATTCTACGAAGGCCCATCAGGGAGACAATCAGATGCCGACGGAGCTCCGCGCGAAGGCTAATATCAAAAACGATTCCATCTCACACGAATCGCATAAAAAATTGATGAAACTGCAAGAAGATAAGAATAATTCCGCGTCGCACAAATCACACGAATACTTCGCGCAAAACGTAAACAACTTTACATTGCACGAGTTCCACGGAAATTTCAATAAAGATGGCAATGAGAGCAACATCTCTACGTATGAAGTGTGCAACAACAACACCTGCATCCAGCTCTGTTGTCCTCTCGGCGATCGTTTGATTAATGAGAAGTGCGTGAGTGAGAAGGTAATTATTCTTTCCCGGTATACACGAGCGATTCATCGCAGAACAAAGAAAGGAAGCTGGATGAGGTATTTCAATTAATCATCAACGATCCGTGCGAATATGGACGTTACGTGCTCAATCCCGACGATTATCCGGAGGACGAATACACGGTACTCGCCAACGGTTCGCTGTACCAACCGCGTTACGACGAGTTTATCGAATTGACGTCTTATTGCCTCGCCGTTGTGAATGGCAACCAGTACGAGGTGGTTATTTGCTTCTCGAACGAGACCAAGAATGCGACTTTGCCGGATCAGCACAGCGATATACCTGTTGCGGGTCTCATAATATCCCTGCCATTTCTACTGGCGACATTCGTGGTATATTCCATACTGCCGGAGCTGCGAAACATGCACGGTTATACGCTGCGCGGATACGTCGGCTCGCTGTTCGTCGCGTACACCGTTCTTGCGGTGGTGCAGCTGATCAACCAGGCGATATTACCAGAATCCCTCTGCATCGCAATGGGTACAGCACACCCGAATTATAAAAATGCAGCGTGAACGTCAACGATTGTACACTCGCGCATATCAATTATTTCCTTTCTGCCAATTTAAACGTAGAAATGATCGAAATCTTTAAGTTGTCGCACAACGAAAGTAATAGTTGATACAATTCGATTTCTAGGTGCATTTTGATCTATTTTGATAAATGTCTGTTTTTCTTGAAACTTTGTGAAGATTACGCTTTTAAGTCTCGGGAAGATATTATTTGATTTAACACTGTCATATATTTATTAAATTTACCCGCTTTTTGCTAAAATTTCCCAATGCAGAAAGTTGAAATAAACTTGTTTTTTTTCCATGAACAGTTATAGCAATAATTCTGATTTCGTCGGAATTTTAATGTGACTATTGACTATTGTTTTATTCAACTGTTTCAGCTTTCGTCATCCATTTTTCATTTTTGGCGAGTTTCTTCTGGCTAAATGTTATGTGTTTCGACATTTGGTGGACATTCGGGTAAGTTGCTATAAATATCTCATTTTATTTATAAACAAAGAAGTTAAAAATAATTTTCTTAATATTTCTTAAATAAAATATTTGTTATTTGAACACCAAATTTTGACAGTAATTTTATGAACAAAAAAATTAAACGTAAATTAATCTTTTTTTATTTACAAATACAAAACAGTTGATTGTACATAAATTAGAATAT